ATACAGAAAATGAACTGAAAAAGCATCAGACATAAATAAAAATATTTCCAGTACATTTTAACTGATGTTTCAAAATAAACTGTTTCTCTAAGAAAATAAGAGAAAATATTATCACAAAGAAATCAAAGCAGACTAAATATAAACAAAACCTTTCTACTTTATGAATTCTGATTTTATTCGAGAGCACACTATTACAAGGACTCTGATCTTTGTGAACTCTTGTTTTTATCAAGATTGCAAAGGAGGAAAAAGATCAGCATAATCTCCTGATCTATTCTTACACAATTTCAGAGTCCACCATGCCCCCTATGAACTTGATATTTTGCCAGTCGTGATAAGTCTGTTAAAGCTATCATTTTAAATTTAAATGATGAGAGGTTTCATTTGTTTTCCAAGCAGAGATGAAACCTTTTTCAAATATACTCCAGCTGCTGTGACCTTGGTCTATGACTTAAAAGTTCACATGAAATAATTTATTTTATCCCAAGAGACCTGTCAAGATTTCTCTTCTAAAATGCGTTTAGATTTGATGGCTTTGTGTAAAAGCCTAATATCTTTATACTAAGTAATATCATTTGAACTCTGAATAACAAAAATAAGACGAATTTAATATAAATTTAAAGGTGTAACACCAAATCTACAGGGATATTTTCAACAAATGTGTCAAACTTGAAAATAATTAGTAAATCATGCTGTCACTGTTAGAAAGGAAGTAGAGGTAACTTGCCATTGATGACAGTAACCATCATCCAGGATCCTGTCATTGGTTAAGAAGGATTTGAAGAAAATATGTTTCTCTTTTCTCTCTTTAAGCCCAAGAACATGAGCAACTATTTTCAGTCAATCAGATTCATAGAGTCATAGAACAAGCTCAGGCATAACACATGAAACAAGAAATATTAATATGCTTCACAATTCTTATATTGTAGATATGTGAAGCTATTCACATCCAAAATGAAAAAGGAACTTTGGCAAGAGTATGGAATTATTCCCTTCACATGTTGGCTCTACTTTAAAAAAAACTGTGCCTTTTCCTGGGCTCATAGGAGAGAACCCCATTAAACAAATGAATCAAAAAAACATTACACTTGTTCATTTATTTATTGGTGAAAATGATTCGAAGCTACCTATTTGTGTGTGGCAAAAATATGTGAACCCCTGTGGGCACGCGTGCCGTCGCCCCAGCCCCCCTTCCCACCAGCAGCTCCCCCAGAGAGTCACCCCCCCGGGCACGGCCCGCACACAGCAGCGCAGCCAAGGACATGACAGCCAGGGACAAGACTCCGCCCTCATGCCCTGTCGTGTGCAGATGATACTGTGGGGCATGGGTGGAGAGCGTGGCTGCCATGGCGCTGTTGGGCCGCCTGGGCAATCTGCTGCGGTGGGCCGTGAATGGCCCTGCGAGCGGGGCGGGGTTTGGGGCACTCGGTCTCTAAAAGGTTCGCCATCACTGCCTTAGTATTATCATTTCCTTTGAACATGAAATTAAAGTTGTTTTAATCAATGGGATGATAATCAGTACAAGTGTGGGAAAGGGTTACACAGCTATTTCCAAAGAACTGGACTCTACCATTATCAGACAGATGGTATACAAATTAAGGCAATTCAACTCCATTGTTACTCTCCTTAGGAGGAGTCAAGCAACCAAGATCAGACCAAGAGCAAGGTATGTAATACTCTGGATACTCTCAAAGAACCCTAGGGTAATGTCCAGCTTGTCCAGAAGGATACCATAGTCAATGATGTTGAAAGTTGTTGTGAGATCCAGGAAGGCCAGAATGGTTGCATCACTGCCCAGGGTCATTCACAAGCATATCCATGAATTGGACAGTGACTAGGAATGCTGCTATTTTGTTCCTAAGAATGCTTTCTCTAAGGCACATGACCTAGAATAAAGATGCTATTACTGGATAGAAAGAACTATAGGGGTCCTTGGTGCTCTCTGAGCTTGTTTTCTTGTAGACGTTTCATTGCCCTAACTAACTAACTAATATCATCAGTGCTAGTTTCTAGAAAGAACTCTAGAAACAATATTCTGAACACTTTCCTCACCTCACTTCCATTTTTTCATTCTACGTGAGATTTCTTTGTATATTTTTGACAGTTCAAAAGCCAAGGCCTGCCCTGTGATAGAATAATCTTAAGATTTTGGCTATGGAGATTCTCAATCGTCCACGTCACAGCTGTCCCAAAGATGCTTTTCCAAAAGCCAACTGATCTTTCTTGGGGGGGTTTCTTTGAAACCGTTTTGCTACTCATCCAAGAAGCTTCTTCAATTCATCAAAGACTGAACTGAAGAAGCTTCTTGGATGAGAAGCGAAATGTTTTCAAGGGAAAAAAAACCCAAGAAAGTCTAGTTGCCTTTTGGAAAAGCACCTTTGGAACTTAAGATTTTGGAAAAATCTAAGATTAAGAGAAGCAAAACAAAAACCAAATAGAATATATGTCTGATTGAAGTGTGCAAGGAATGTAAAATCTACATATTATTCTCCATAAGTTTCACTGCCCTATCCTAGACAAACTGATTTTTTTTCAATTGTGGGATTCATAATAGCCTATCTGCTGCAGTTACTGTTAATCCAGAAACCAGAGCAGATATGTAAATTTTGGGCAGGACTTTGAAGCAGAGGTCCAGGATTACACTGGATGGCAGTAAAGAGACACAGTGGGAACAAAAGACTTTTCACTACCATCTAATGATGGCAAAGATGTACTATAGTTGGAGTTTCTGAATGGAAATCCTAAATCCCTTCCCTACCTGGATGTCATCAATTTTAAAGGTAAATTTTAACTAGAATAGCAGAATGGCAGATCCAGATTCATTTTTCCCAGCTGGAACCTTATACAGGTAGTCCTTGATTTACAACAGTTCATTTAGTGACTATTCGAAGTTACAACTGCACTGAAAAAAATGTGACTTATAACCATTTTTCACACTTACGACCATTGCAGCATCCCCATGGTCACATGATGAAGATTCAGATGCTTAGCAACTGACCCATATTGCAGTCTCTCAAGGTCACGTAACCATCTTTGACAACCTTCTTACAAGCAAAATCAATGGAGAAGCTAGATGCACTTAACAACCAGGCTACTAACTTAAGAACTGCAGTGATTCACTTAACAACTGTGGCAAGAGAGGTCATAAAATGGGGCAAAACTCACTTAACAACTGTCCTGCTTAGCAACAGAAATTTGGGGCTTAATTGTGGTCATAACTCAAGGACTACCTGTACTTTCAGATTCTATCTCCCATCCCCAATTCTGGACAAAACAAAGCATACAGAGTATACAGTTTTGATCTGTGCACAACTTATCTATGCTTATCTTGTTCTGTCCAAGGAGTAGTTTGCTCATCCCTAAACCTGAGCATTATTTCCATTTTAAATTTACTGTATTTATCCTTCCCCAATAATTCTTCGTCTATAAAGCAAATCATCTCACATAAGAAGATAGGGGTTAGCTAGCTGCAAAGTTAGATCACTGGTTCTTTAGCTCACTTGATACCTGGAATTTTCCACAATTTTAGACCAAGAATATTTCTAACTGTAACTGGAAATGGACTGTAATTGGGATTTTCTATATGCACTATTCTGTAAAATTATGAAAGGACCATTATAACACAAAAGCCATATTGATATTACTATTACAATGGATCTAAGTTGGTAAAGGTAGCATCATCATTAACTATGGAAAGCTTTTGTGAGACAGTTATACATTAAATTCATTTTAATTAAGAGACATTATTTCAAACATTGTGGAGTTTTTGCTGGATATTATAAATCATCAGAATGGCTGCCAAACAAGTCAGACCTTTTCAAAACAGTCACCTTACCAATAATCTAAAAATGTTAACATCTGGCTTGACAACAGCTCTGGAAAAAGTAAAGCTACCAGATTACTTTATAAAACATTAGTTGGCCTAATGAAAAACATCATCTTATTAAAGAGTTTTCTTTTATTCTTCTAAAGAAATGTAAATATGTATGCTTTTGTGGATTTAGTCCTCTTCATCTGATACATGAACTAAAATACCAGGTAAAGGGAGATGGCAGCAAGGTGCATTATAAGAGAAATTATAAAACATACAACAAACAAAATGTCTAACTATAAATAATGACAAGATTATTGTTTCCAGATAGGGCATCATTGTTTTTCTTTTTGTAACTACTCAACAATTGATTCAGCAATTGTGCAATTAGGAAAATCACCATCTCACTGCAAAATAAGAAAAGAGGATCCTCCCTCCTACTTTCAGCCAACATATGTCCAACACTAAGGTACCTGGCACAATGCCTTGGAAATATGATTGTTAAATAAGCAAATGCTACTTTTGATACTTTTCTTTACGGAAAAATGTTTCATTCAGTATCCAATCTGGGCTGGTCACCAGGACCAGAGATTTAGTCTTCCGAGCTTTCAGACTCGTCCTGGAGCCCATCCACAGGAAACTTCTCTCTCACCAGAATGTGTTTCATTCTGTGCTTCATTCATGTTTCAATCACTTTAATTTTTAAAAGGTGAGATACCCTCAAGCCACATTGTTTCTGTACCTATGTGCATAGGTAATAACCACAAAGGCTGAAGATCTATTCAAATTTATTTAATTTAAAATGTAATTAACATGTAATTTTAAGCTAGCTAAGTTTTGCTGAAAATTATTTTTATATGTTAAAATGAGCCCTTCGTTCAAAATTTGAGAAATTTATGCTCTTTTTAAAAAGAGATGTAGTTTAAATCCCTGCAATGCAAATATATTGTTTTATCTGGTGGCAAAATCCTTCTTTCTCCCCCTAAAATACTACTGTATATTGTGAATGTTTTTACATATAAATAAACCTAAAAGTATGTGTTTTTTAAAATGCAGTGACACAGTCAAGCCTAGGAAGCATTATTTCATGTACTGCCAAACAACTCTGCTTAGTAAAAAATATTTTTGTACAAAAGTACAGCATTTAAAAAAGAACAAGTAATGAGAAAACAAAATGTAAAAATCTTACCTCATTCCCCCCAACAGCTTTAGTTAAAATCACTGCTGATGATACTGGTGGAGGCATGCAGCCTACTGTCTGCAAACTAGAGGAAAGAAGGATAAAGGAATATGAACTTTATTTTTTCTAATTAATCTCCAAATGTTCCATACAAGAGAAGGGGCACAGCAGTGTACTACTTGCTAAATGACTAAGTAAAATAAATGTAAAATGTAAAGTAAATGACTTCTTAATCTTCTGCTTACAAATAATTAGCTGATCAAATGTCTCTGAATAACTTTCTTATTATTTATAGCAATTGTACACACTGGATATCATCCAGAAAATATTCCATTGCTAGGGTACCCAAGGCTTTCTGTCTTCACTAGAGGTGTCCAAATAACAGGCTCCAAAAAGTCAGCATTGCAGGTATAACCATGCAATCAAAGCCCCAGCCCTTTTTAATGTGCATTGCATTGTCTCATGAACATAAGGAGGAGTGATACCCTTGACGTTTTTAACCAATTCTGTAGATGCCCACTGCACAGGAAAAAGAAGATATGTACACCCAAAAACATTTATATACAGAATTCCCTGGTAAAAGTGAATGAGGAAATCTGGTCTGTACCAGAATTGAAGTTTCTTCCTAACATCAAACCATTCAAATTTGAAAAAACTAAGAGGAGAAGAAAACCTTCCTGTTACAAAGTATTGCTTTTCATGTAATTAATTTTCAGACAAATTATATTAAAGTGATTTGAGTATTACTGAGGCTCAAGCTAAAATTCTTGATAACTTTCATCATTCAAATTTTATTGCCCTCATCTACTCAATGGCCTGCAAATCTACTACATGGAGGAATGTATCATAGTTCCTTTGTAGACATCATTGTGTCATAACAATACATTCCTAGATAAACATATGACTTTCTTCTTTCCATTTTCATTAAACAATTATACTATCTGCTTTGATAGTTCTTGACATTTTTGTTGAGGTTGATACCTATGCACCTGCTTTTCAGTTTTCTATGACTACTAGTCAGTGAACACATTTGCATATTAAATAAAATTCAAAATTTTGAATAACAGTGACTATAAGGGACTTCTGAAGTCACTATTTGAAATAATGAAAAATAATGCAAGATGCTGAAAAAGAAACCTCTGCAAAATTGTGTTTTGCAATTCAGTATGCTATTTCATGAACATTCAACATTTATCTTTCTATTCTACCATGTCTTACTGTATTCCTAGTCCACTACTCTTTGTAAGTGGTCAGCAAATATAGCATAGGTATGTTAAAAAGAGACATGATTTGTAAGTCTCTACATATAAAATTTGTTGCCAAGCCTAAGTATATGTGGTATAAAAGTTCTGAAAGAGTAATCTAACAGTAAGTGTCAAACCATTAATCAGCACAAAAAATAAGTTCACTGTTTTTTTAAAAAATGCTAGCATTACTGGAAGTGCATTACTGAAAGAGCAGCGATAAATAGTTCATTGCTTAAAACATACCCTTTTAAAAGCCATTCGTTTATAGATGTAATAGATAGGAGCTGAAGAAACAGCCATATAACTGTTGGGAAGAACACAAGTGTGAAGATCTGTACAAAAAGATGCAATTTTACATGCATCAAAGCACTTGTCAGCTCCTGCAAAACAAAAGGAAAAGAAAAAGGTTGCAGTTTTAATAGATGAAGTTAGACTCACGTTAGTATCGTTAAATGTATTAGGTGCACACACTTTCAAAAAATCTGTTTCTAAACTAAGTACACAAAAATATAACACGGCATTGTCTAAAATAATTAAGTACAGATTGAATATTTTATTTATTTCATTTTTTAACTTATTCATACATTTCATTGAAATGATTTCAGTCCATTTTAGCATACATACATATAAAAGGAAAAAAACATGGCTATATATTTGGAGTGAGTAGCTGTACTAAAAAGCCTTTAAAATAGTATTTTTTCATATGGTACAGATCTTCCATCCTCATTAAATAAATGCATACCACAAATAATTTTAATATATGCACGGAAATTTGAGGGTTAATAAGAAACAACCCACATAAACTACTACTTTTGTGCTCTTTTATAAAATAGCCATCTCAAGACATATCTATGCCACAGATTATGCTGATATAAATTTTAAAAATGGGGTTAAAAAAAAGATATATCAGTTGGGGAATTCTGAAGTTGAAGTTAAAAATGAGAAAGACTGACACACATACCCCAACAGTGTTCAATTATAATATCATCATTTTAAAATGTGGCCTTACTACCAGACTTTTAAAATAACCCAGAATTTTGTTACTATTTAAGTAGCAAATGAATAAATAAAAGATGAATATTCAGTTTGCAGTACCTCTGTTTTCAGGGATAGTCCACTATTGAAGAATATAGCAGAGACAGCTATATATGTGATGGTGATTTCTGGTTTCAATGGTCCTGGAAGAGAAAACATATTTGAACCAAAAGTAAACAAAAGCAACTAATTTTTGTAAGTCTTCCCTTTAACGTTTATAGATGGCTATTAAGAAATTCTCCAACTGTGCACTCTATAGAGAAGCTGAAACCACAATTTTAAGAATTCCCAGATCGGAAGCATTAGCCAAACTGGGTAAGAACTCTTTTCTCTCTCCAACAGCAGAAAGAGTAGAAAAGACAATGACATAAATAGTACAGTTTAATCAGTACAGAGGCTATGTCAAAATTGTAGGATTATTTTTTTGTTTTTCTTTTTTATTAGTTTAATAATAAAAAAATTGTAGGATTATTAGACAGATTAGAAGCAGAGCACAAAGTGGTACAATGGTACCTTGGCACTCAACTGCTTTGAAACTCATCGAATTTGGTACTCAATGCATGTTGATATGAAAATTTTGCCCCGTACTCATTGTTTGTTTGGTACTCAACGCACGAGCTAGAACTTGTCAGAATTGGCCACCTTGTGAGTCATTACATTATTCCTTATGAGAAAAAACTGTTTGGTACTCATCATTTTTAGTACTTAGCGCACATCCCAGAACCAATTAACGATGAATAGCAAGGTACCACTATATACAGGTTACAAAAACATGTCATAACTAACAATAACATTATAATTAAGAGCAATAGATGCATGTAAGTCAGTAAAGCCAGCCATAAGGTCTAGATCTCTAGATTGTTTCTTGTTAATTACATAATTTGCATTTTATGCCATCTTAAACTATATTTGCAGAACGAAGAATAGAAATTCAAGATCTGGACATGCACTTTAAAGCAAGTTTTTACTAATTTTAACTATTGTAGGTAATCCTGAAAGTCCAAATTTAGAGTGAACAATGTCAGTTTACATAAAATGAAGAGAATTATGTTTCTACAAAGCTGGTAGTAGCAGATGATGGTAAAAGACCCAAGTTCCTTTGTATTCTGCAGCTTAAGAAGAAAAGTTAGGTAATTGTCACACCATTATTCATTAGAGACAATGTTTAGAAAGGAACAGAATGTGGGGAAAAGACATGAGTGCTTTCTGGTTGCTTTTAAGTTTTGCCTCACATAGGAATCTGCAAAATGTCATATAATACTGATTATCTCTGATGACACAAAAACAGGGTAATATGTACTCATAACACTTATATAACAACATTACTGGCACTATTTTAAGTTCTGATAATTGGGAGAGAAAAACACCAATGTTTTCTTGGCAGCCAAAAGTAATGCAGGCTGAAGTATTCCCTCAGGCAGTTCTAAGTACAAAACCAGAAAACAAACTATTAAAGTGAAACATGAGGGGCACAGTTTTGGCACCTTGATATTACAATAATTTGAATACTCTTAACTTTTATTTTTTTTTCTTTCTTAGATTCAGGTTTGTTGAATATGATCACTGCTTGTATTTTAAGAGAGGCAAAATAGAGTGCAATTATATAACCACATAAAAGTCAGTACTGTACTACTAAAGTCAAACATCTGCAGCCCACTATCAGGAATATCTAATTACAAAGACATCAGAGGGCCATATTTTGAAAGATATTTCTGGAAAGGAAGAAAGGGGGTTATCAAAAGCCTGCTTAAGAGGTATTATTAAGGTAGGCCACCTGCTGAAGCAAGGATGCAGGCTGCATTTGAAAACATTTGTAATTAAATAAAACAGGACAGCATAAACTTTTCTGAAAAATATTTATTTAAAAATACCAGGTTTCTAAAATAAATCAAAAACCCACAAAATCCCCACTTGTAGGAACATTTAAAAAAGTGAATTTGGAAAAAAAAAATCCACATTCATTCTATTTTGTCTCATAAGAAATGCAATGGAATCTATAGAATTTATGAGAAATAATTACTTAAAGCAACCTTGGGAGATTTACTTTGAGCCTATATAACTTCTATGCATAATATTTCAAGTTCCTCAACTATATCAATATAAGTAGAAGTGATCATTAAAATCACTTTAGGAAAAAGCATTAATTTCTCATGAGGTTTAGGAAAAATGGTATACAATACAGAAACTCATGCAAAAAAAAGCTGATAGATGGCAATACATATCTTATTATTGTAAAGGTAGTATTTTGGAAATACTCCAACAGGCACTTTAAGACAATTTATTTCTCACCATCAGAATGATCTCTCTACCTATCAAAAGTTTACAAGTAATTGTAAAGACTGTAGATAGAAAACACTACAGTATCTTCAGTGAACCATTTCTCGTTCTGTCACAAAACAGGAAATGCATTAAGTGCAGATCACATGCACAGACATGTCTCACAATCTGATTTCAGTACTGCATAGTATAGTAGTGACCAACACTGTATATAACTTAAGGGCTGTGTTACCTAAAATAAAGCTACCTGTCCTGTTAGATAATGAAAGGTTCCACTGCATGTGAAGTGAGGTGTTATGGACTGGAAGCCAAGCTTTATCAACTGTAGCCTTATGGAACACTTTGTCCCTGACCCTTTTCTCTTGTTGCATTAACTTTCCTTGGAGATAGTTTGATTCCTTCCATCATGATCTTAGAAGCCTCTAAAAATCTTCCTTTGGAAGAAGGCCTTTGATGAGGTAGAAGTCTAGTGGGGAGTATTTTTTTCTTCCAATCAAATGTATCCAATTCTTGGAAACTGCCTGAATATGTCTCTGCAGTTTTCTTGGCAAGTTTTTTTTTCCAGAAGTGGTTTGCCATTGCCTCTCTCCTAGGGCTGGGAGAAAATGACTGGACCAAAGTCACCTAGATGGCTTAGTGCCTAAGGAGGGACTAGAACTCATGGTCTCCTAGTTTCCAGTTTGATGCCTTAATCACTACACTAAACTGATATTTTACTAAAAATAAAGTTAATAAAGTTACCCTTGCCCCTTGTTATGGTTATTATATTATTTGGATTTTTCTGAGATTGCTGTTTGAGATTGTCTATGGAGATTCTCAGTCATCCAGGTCATAGTTGCCCCAAAGATGTTTTTTCACAAAGCAACGGGATATTCTTGACAAGAAAGTTGCTTCGTGAAAAAGCATCTTTGGGCTGCTTGAGATTCATCTGGCTTATCCAAAGTGAAAAGACTGGGGTAGTATAGAAACTGTGATAATTAAAAATAGAATAGTGTGGTTAGATGGATGGGTAGGTGTCCTGTATATACACACAGGTAAAAAAAAGAGTTCAAGAAAGTGGTTAAATATAATGGCTGTTGATAAGCACCCTCATTTTCTAATTTAGGAATAGTTGATCAAATCTGACAACCATTTACGAACTGTTTTTCAAATACGAATTTCTATTGCTTGAACGACTTTGAAGTTTCTACACTTGTTGCATATCCTTAAGTCCTGTAACTGGGGCGCTACTGCTTCCCCTAAAGGGGTGAGCGAGCGTCTTTATCCCTACTTTTGACAGCAGCTGAAACACACAGGAGTTGTCTGTTGCTACAACTGCAGCCGGATCCTTCCACGCGGAAGTGGAATCTCTCCGCGCTCGCTCGCTCGCTGGGCGTGCAACGTGTCACTGCAACTCTGTTCGGGAGTTTTGAGTCCGGGAAACTCCGACCGTCCACTTAAGGAACGCTAAGAGGGCAGAGCCGGTATTATTTGCAAGGAACGGTTGGAAACGATTCGAAGCGAGAGAAAGGTGCTTTGGCAGCTGGACTCCAATGGCGCTGCCCCGTTACGAAGGGCGAACTCTGGCATTGCTCAGGCAGAGATGCCCCCGCCCGGCTCAGTCCCGATTTGGGGGGCTACAGCGACAAGGCTTCGGCTGGGACCCGGGGCAGCCCTGCCCAATTCTCCCCTTGCTTGCAAACAAGCGAGCCCCGAGTGGGAAAGAGGTGGCCAGGGCCGGCAGGGAAGGCGGGAGCTCCCCCGGCAGACTTACCCCCCTTCACCCCAAAGGCCGGCTCCAGCTTGGCGACGGTGATGACCAGGACGATGCCCAGCATGAACCAGTCCTTCCTCAGCCTGTCCAGAATGCCCATGGCGGCAGCGGCGGCGGGGCTGGCCGAGAGGCTTCGGCGGCTGCGAGCAGCGAGGAAGGAGGGCGGGAGGAGAGTTAGTCAGGACTTCCCTCGGGCCCTCCCGCAGAGCGGCTCCGCAACGTGCCGCCGGCAGCAGCCAAACCAGTTAAACGCCGCTCCCGCCGCCGCTGGTAAGTATCCAGTGACAGGAACAGGCTCTCTGAAAGCCGCCATCGCTACCACGCGACTGCTAATAGACTCGCGCGCACTTAGCCTCGCTGGGGGTGGGGGGGGCAAGGAGGAGGCACGAGAGCAGCAACTCCACCAGGCAGGGCCTCGGAGGCCGCCGCGACTAGGAGTCTCGGCACCCATCGGAGAGCCCCACCGAGGGGCGGGACGACCCAAGCAGCGACCAAACGCTATCCGAAGGAGCGCCCCGGAAGAACTGGGTCCTAAGAAGAGTGCCTCCGAAGCAGGATGAAGGTTGGATGAGCCCACCTCGGGTACTTCCCCAAGTAGGAAGGAAATGCCGTGGAGTGCAGGAATCCTGCACCGCAGCCCTTCCTCAGCCACTGTCAGTCGGAGGAGAGCCAGCAAGCCATTCTCGCCAGCGGCGGGAGAAAAGGAATTGGAAACGTCCGGTGGTAATGAAAGGGCTGCGCGCCTCTTCGAAGCTTTACGTTCGCCTTGTGACGCACGGCGTTTAGCGTGAGAACGGGCCGGAGGGCGGGCCTGTGCTTTCAATTCCTGGCGTGAGACACGTGTCGCGGTACTCGCGCTTCTGGAGGGCGAGCAGGGAGCTAGGGGGTCGTGTGGGCGCGCGCACCTAAGCCGTTGATGATTAAAAAGCGGCCGGAATTACTTTCCTGTATAGGACTGTGAATCGTGGGTATATAGAGTCACAAGGGCACGACTTGTTTGGATTTGTTTTAATATTAGTTAGCCGCGCAAAATTAACCAGTGCTGAGAGATTACTTTGTTTTCTTTGCAATAGTGAAGAATGTTTGTTTGTTTTTTCTTTCCTTCCTTCCTGGATGATGCGATCTTGGGTGAGTTCGTCTAGCGAGATTTAGAACTTCCTTCTAAGAATTTTATGCAGGGTGGGAGAGAGAGAAAGAGCTGCAGGAACAGGTTGGGGAAAACCTCCGTCCCTGGTTCTTCCTCTTGAACTCGGCGCCTGCCTCTGACTCCCTCCTTTCTGCAACCGCAATTTTAGTCTTGATCCCTGGGGATGGACTATGCGGTTCTGAGCCAAAACAAAATCTCGAAATAGAACTTATCGTTTATTACGCCTGCATGCATGTAATTGATTTGCTGTCTCAATCCTCATGGCAGTTTACAGAGAACAAAAATAAATAAATTTTAAAGCACCACAGGAACAAAAATATTGCAATATCAAATAATCTACGCCGTCGTCGTTACCCATTAAATTGGCCATAATGGGTTATAACGTCTGTGGTCAGAATTCCTAAGTGTTCAGGCCACACATGCTTTGGAAATTCCTGCAAGGTACCTTCTGGTCTGGTCTGCAAGGGCTGTGATGCATTCATAAGCATTAGGATTTTCTTGGCCTCATTAGCTCCTCTTTTCCCTGCTCTCCCAATTTACAATATAGGGATGACAACTGCCACAATTCCCAATCAGGCTGCTGGAAAAGGCTGGGCTGCAATTCTGGAAACTCTAGTTTCAACTATTGAAGGACACCAGCTTGGGGAGTGTCATATTTGCTGATCACCTTTGTCAAGGATTTACTTTTTATCAATCACCTGTTCTACAACAGTTGTATAATCTACAGCTTGGGGAGTGTCATATTTGCTGATCACCTTTGTCCAGGATTTACTTTTTATCAATCACCTGTTCTATAACAGTTGTATAATCTGATAAAAGCAACACACCCACAAAAATGAAACACTATTTCATACATTTTAATTTAATTATACTCTCTATTTAAATAGTGGTGCAGTCCAATATGCATTCACAGAAATAGAATTACCTGACCTCAAGGAAAACTACTCCCTATTAAAAGATTTAAGATATTTATATGTATATTCTAGTGCAGTGATGGCGAATGTTTTAGAGACTGAGTGCCCAAACTGCAACCCAAAACCCACTTACGTATTGTTGGGTGCCGGGTGGGCGTGGCCCATTGGGTAGGTGTGGCCCATTGGATGGACATGGCTGCAGTGGTAATGGCAAACTGGGTGGGACTAAAAAGTTCAATCAATTTCAACTTTGCGAGATCTTTTTTTCTCCCACGAGAAGTTGAAATTGATTGATTGATTGAACTTTTTTTTTTGCGGAGGCCTAAAGCAAAAAAGTTTTATAAAACCCAGCTGAAGGCCTAGGACTGGGGCGATGGCGCGTGTGCCCACAGAGAGGGCTCTGCGTGCCACAGGTTCGCCACCACAGTTCTAGTGCATGGGTGTTAAACTCACCATGTCACTTGATATGTCGCGATATATCGTGACTCTTTTTGCATTATCAGCAATGGAGTGGGCGCAGCTTCGGTATGATGAAACCGGCCCACAGGCCGGCAGTTTGACACCCCTGTTCTAGTGTATTGTAGGAAAAGGATGTTATTCTCCAGAGATTGCTGAAATTACTGTTCTGTTTAATTGCAGCTAGCAACATCCTTATCACTGTGCCTGGCTGCTTCCTGGTGGATGCCAGAAAAGGTTTATGTAAGATAGCAGATGTTACCCTGTTTCTATTTAAGAAATGCTTCTTTAAATCTTACCATAGAAATGAAATTTCTTAAGAAAAGTTTCTATTTAAGAAATGCCACAATTGCATTGCTGTTATCAGGTAAGAGCTACTTTGAGATGCTTTTATTTACAAATTTCTTGCATATCTTCTCAGAAATAATACTCAGAGCCTTATTCTAAAGTAAATGGAAGGATTGCAGCTAGGTTTATTTGTATGCAATTTTCCTTCATTTATATTTATACCTAGAGAAAAAAAAGTCCACGATAAAAATAAAGGTATTTCCCCAACACAAAGTAACTTTGCAATTAAAATATAGCTAAAAGAACATATTCAAAAACAGCATTAAAAAAACTAAATACAATTTTTGCACATCTGTTCAGAAGTGAGTTCCATAGAATCCCACCATAAAATAAGTGGTGTACAGGACTGTAGTTTGAAGGCAGCATAAATGAGAAATTATCAGGACTATTGAAAGAGACTAAGCAGTAACTCTGTTATGTTTAACTTGGAAAGGGATCTGATTCTTATTGCTGATGTCACACATTTTAGCATTGGCTTATCTGTTCCTGTATTCCTATATATTGTCTTAATTCTAAAATTCAGGATGTTTCCTGTTATTTACCTGAATGGCATCCAGGACCCTATTTGTACTCAGCATATGACTGATTCTTTCAAAATATAACATTGAATCACAAATTAAACAGCCATTTTTCTGTCTAAGATGATAGGATAACCCAATGATGACGAACCTTTTAGAGACCGAGTGCCCAAAAACTGGCTCCGCCCTGCTCCAACCCCCTGCCCCGCCCCCACTCTGCCCCCTCCCCCCCTGCCTGCCCACAGGACCACTCACCACCTCCAGGACCCGCCGCAGATCATCCAGGCAGCCCAGCAGTGCTATGGCGGCCACACCCTCTGCGCGCGCCCTGCAGCATCAACTGCATGATGGGGTGTGAGGGCAGAGTCTTGTCTACGCTGCCTGGCTGCCATGTCCTTGGCTGCGCTGCTCCATGTGCGCCACTCTCGGGGGCGACTCTCTTTCAGGGGGGCTGCTGGAGAGGAGGGGGTTGCGGGGGGAGGTGAGGCTGGGACAACGGCACGTGTGCCCACAGAGAGAGCTCCGAGTGCTGCCTCTGGCACCCGTGCCATAGGTTCGCCACCACTGGAATAACCTATGAAGTTATTTTATGTTTCTGTGTGTCTTAAACAAAGAAATTGAATCACTTTACTAAATCACAGAAAAGCATGTTGTGTAGAGACATCCTGTATGGTTATGACCATTAGCTTTTGTTCTTGCCTTTCCCAGCTGATGTGTTCGGACCACACATTCTCAATAATGACTCAGGTATCACCTGTTGGTGATGCTGGCTGGAAGTTATGAGCATTGCACTCTTAACTAACTCCTCCCCAAAAAATTTAAATATGTAACTGGACAGTGAGGAAAGTCTATTCCATCCCTTTGTATTGTTTTCATTGGTCCCAACAGCCCCCCTCCCATCTCCCATCTTGGAGGATAATTTCTTCAGCTGCTGTTCTGCCCTTTTAGACTCCATAAATGAACTAACTTTTGCACAAAACCCTTCAAAGTCTGCAACTATAGCCAGCCACTCAAATGTTCAGCAGTTTATGTGGTACATGGTAAAAAAAACTATAAAAATGAGGAAGTAATAAAGAAGGGAGGGTGAATAAATAAGTTTTCACTCTCATTTTTATAGGATGGAGAAGGCATAAACAGAACTACCTCTTTTAAGCTTTAAAGCTTAACCTTTTACAGTTATAGGGTAATTTCCAAGGCCTTGTTTGACTGCTTGCTTGCTTGGTTGTTTTATCTCTTGCATTTATATGGCTGCCATCCACAAAAAGCAACCTTGGACAGTATACAACTTGTATACTTGTAACCTTTTTCATGTTAGTAAGACAATTCAGAATTTGGAAAGCCAGTCCCTTGGGATAACTGCTAGGGGCTTTTTGCTAACTAGCTACCATGAAGGACATAAGATGCAAAGTACAAGTTGACTAGAAAGCTGCTCTTTTTGTATCCACAAACTCAAAGGTTTAGTATTGTCCCTTCCTAAATTTGTCTTTTTCTTCTAAATTTCAAGCAAAGATCGCAGTGGCACATCATATTTATTTCCTAAGAAAAGCATGTTTGAATATATACTTGTGTACAAATGGATGTGTAAAACTAAGGCAGGGAGCCTGCAATTGCAAGAATGGTGTCCACAGATATAAGGAGACCACTGAGGATCATGTTGAGGATCGCAAGGGTTGCTGGTTCAGGATTGTTCAATTGGCTGCCAAAGGTTGCCATATAAGGTTGCCATATAT